TAACTATTTATTCTAACATGGTATATATATATATATATAGTTTAAATTTAGTATCATTGTTTATTTTTTTTCATTGATAATTGATCTAATAATAGTAACATTGGTATCGGGAGTTAAAAAAGCATCTTAATTACGGTACTATTATTATTAATGTTTCACAAAATTAATTAATCGTTGTGTACGTGCGAATTTTATGTCCAAAAGTGGCTTTCAAAGTGCATTAAAAATTTTTTAATTGTTCGGAATAAAGTGAAGCCCACAATCTTTATGCTTCGGAATAAAGTGAAGTCTACAATCTTTATGCTCTTTTTATGTGCTAAAATTGGTTTTTAATTAAAAAAATATACAGTCACATCTTCCTAAGCGCATTCTCTCGTACCATAGTGAAAAAATTACAAAATTGCTCTTATAAATTGGGACCAGACTATATTATACATTTAAAGAGGGTTATATACTTGCATTTAGAAGGTAACTGAAAAGAAAACATGTTAAAATTTTAAAATTTGAGAGAGATTATCGGAAAAAAAAAAAAAAAAAACTTACAGATTGTCCAAGCAAGAAGGTAGATGCCGACAGCGTGTTCGAATGCTTCGATGTTAGTAAAGCTGCCAGGCACATTAAATCCAGGAATAATGATACAAGCGAACGATAACCAGAAGCCACCATATGAAGAGAAAGCGGTAGCACCGAAAGTATTACCAGTCTTGAATTCCCACATACCGGCTAAAAGTTGTGCGAGACCTCCATAAAATAGAGCCAAACCAAGAGTGATAGATGGAGAGGCGACATTAGCGGAACCTGTGTTGGCGATTGAAAGTACGAATGTGGTTAAAGCGAAACCGCAGAGACCAAGAGGGGCTGGATTTGCAATTTTTGGTGGTGGTTGGTATTGGTAGTTATATTGTTTTCCGTCTTCAATTGACATCTTTATTAAACTATTGTAATGAAAAAAGAATTTAGGTGTTAAAAGAAAAAAGAATTTAAGCGTTGTGTTAAAAAATGCGAAAAAAAAAAAAAAACCAAAAAAATGGTAAAAAATACTAACGTTTATTAGTTATTAATATTATTTGCAAGTTGGAAAGTTGAAAATTGAATTTATAGATCAATTAAATAACGGTAATTAAAAAATTTTTTATTGACACTTTCAGTTGAGAGAAAAGAAATTAAGTATGCAATTTATAAGATTTTTCAATGTACAATAGCGGAAATCCATATTAAGCGTACTTTTCATTTTGTACATATGTGTCTTAATTACTTGAGTACAAAAAAAAAAGGGGGTGTACAAATTTATAAATTTATTATAAATTTATACAATCGATATTAGGCCGTTTTTTGAAAAAAAAAACCTACTGTAGTATCATTTAGGCGACACTAAATGGTAAGAGATTATTATTGGTTTTGCAATTGAATTGTTTAAAGTAAATAACTTTATGAATGTGACAATTCAAAACGCGTGATCGTTCAAAAAATGCAGTTAATTGTTGACTATGAAGGGTTGCAAATTTACACTAGGAAGCGATTGAATCGATACAGTATGTACTGTACGTATGTACTTACATATCTTTTGTGTGTAATAAGAAACAAATAAGTTTTACTATACTGTATCCTGTTTATCTATTTATATTATCATTAACAAATAAATAATTATAATTTTGTGTAACAGATTTCATGTCCTAAACGTACCGTTTTCGCAGGGCGTAAAAACGGATAGTGCCAATTTTATTGGGGCTTATTTTCATGCACGTAAAAGGCATTTACACATATGCACATATATGTATGGTATCTTCTTTTGTTTTTTTTTAATACTAATGAAAAATGATATGAATGAGATTTATCAATGAAGGTTTGAGATCGGCGCAAGTTGTAAATGACATTCCATGACGTTCTTTTCATTGAATAGTAGTATAACATTTCGATTTATATTCGTCTTGCTACTAGAATGGATCGTGTTGTTAATTTTCCAAAACTCATAATCCAGTAATCAATAAAAACATTGAAGTTTACTACCAAGTTCTAGAGTCCCCATAATCAAACAATCAATCCATTGATGCAGTGTCTGGTCACTATTCAAATGATTATGCTCCCCATAAACCGTAAAAGGACCAATTGAATATATAATAAAGTTTTAAATCAATTTAATTTCCCTGAAAATTGCGCACGCGATTAAAGTTACCACAAAATGTCAGGTATTAATATGGTTTACGTAGTGATTTAGGTTTAGATAAATTTTAATTACTGTAATAACTCACCGGATTTACTAAGAAAAGAATGTAAAACCACAGTTTTACGAGACGATTGAATCATAATCATAAGGCAATTTTGTGCAGTTTAAAATTACCCTGTTACAAACACACACATTATGTCGCAACTTTGTAATATAATATGAATTTGTTGATTTATTTGTTACACAATAAAATTTATAATGATTGGTTATTTATTTTTGTTGAAAAGTGCATTTAAAACGCCTAAAATTTTTTTACAAACCTAATTTTATATTATATATATAACGCTATACGTATAAAAAGTGAGAAAGTAAAAAAGTAGTTGCACCAATTTTTTATTATACATTGATATTGTCAAAATGTAATACAAATGTTAATACGTATTATAAATTTTTGTCCTTTGAAGCGAATTAATTAACAAAGATAATAATTTCTTTTTAAATAAATATTTAGAAATTCGTGTTAACGAGTTAAAAAAAAGTATTAAAAATTAATCTTTCACAAAATACTATAAAAGTCGAAAAAATAATAAATAGTGATAATGAGTATATAGTTCGTTAATTAATCAGCCACTAAAACAATTTCAACATGCCACAATTAGAGCTTCCTTTTTAAGACAAGTTAATACAATTTGACCCTGAACTGTTTAAAAAAAAACAGGATCACACAAATAATGCTTCTATAATTCATAAAAGGAAAAAAAATCTTTATTTCGTCCGTTAATTCAGCATTCTTAAATAACATTGGTTTTCAAAGTAAATGCATTTACATTGCTATGGTCACTTGTTTGTGTTCTTAGAAACAAATTTTTTAAACGTTACTTTTAATATTGATTTACTAACGTGAATGTGAATTGAAGATCAATGATATGATTTTCTGATGTTATTGACACACAAACTAAAATTTTGATAAAAGTGAATCTAACATTGCGTTATGATTATTGGTTCTTTGGATGGAATAAAGTATGTTAAAAAAGTGTGAAATGTGTGTACCAAATGTTGCATTTCGACAGAGAAGTGTACAATAATAATTTATTAATTTGTCATTTGTGAACCCACGTTCTTTCTCCAATTAATCAAATATTTCACAATTTTCACAATTAAAGGAATACGCATTGTCAAAAATGTCTATATTGTACCTGTAAATAATCTTACAATGTAACAAATATTAAATAAACATTTCTTGAATATTCCTTGGCATGAATTACATACATAGAATTAGTACGTACACTAAATCGTGATTATTAATTTAGTAATTAAAATAAAAATTGGTTAATTTTTCCGTTCCCCGATTTTAAAATTGCTGCACCCCGATTACAAGACCCTCTATCTAAGATCGGTATAGTTCGCCTCAGAGATGACCTTCCTTACTACCTTAACAATTCGTTCACTATGCTATTTCCGAAAATATAAAATAACAACTGATCATGATCATAATCATAATAAATAATAATCATATAATAAATAATAATAATAATAATATATATATATATCGATATATATATATATATATAGTTTTTATATTTTACATTAGCGTTAAATGTTATTAACGCTAAAGGCAAATCTTATGCATCGTTGATCGATGATATATGATTGGTTTCTAGTCATGTGATCTGACCGTTCATTCCGGTTAAATTAGAAAATACTATTGGTGAATTTATCTGCATCATCACTGTACCTCATTATGTACTAACCCCAAGTCTTAAAAATGCGGCAGAAATTTGTTATGGTTTATGACGTAGCTAGTTACAACATAAATTTTACTGCATTTCTAGAATTCTACATAGTCAAGAATTACTGAATTAGAAGGAAGACCTCTAAAATTTCACATGTTTTTACAACAGCTAAGTATGACTTATGTTTACAACTGGACGTAGCGGTAGGTAGCATAGTACGTAGAAGACCTCAGAATTTGATTGATTATGATTTGCAGTGTTCATCTAATTAATTTTTGTATCAAGTTAGGATTTACCTTTACGTTAGCCAAAATTTCAAAATATTTGGACAACTTGTCAACGAATGTAACAATAATAATTTACCATTTACAGCTCTGCTTTAATTTCGTGCTGCGTTTGATTGGTTTTTAACTGATTTTATGTACAAAAAAAATACCCGCCCTTACTGATAGATCACTGTTACGTATTGTTCTGATAAATCCTCAGCATCGGGTAAAAAAAAAATATTATATATGTATATATATTGAGAAATCGGTTTTTTAGATCTCTCTCCTGATGAGGTAAGAAAATTATTTGCATACCTGATACTGTATGTACGTACGTACGTACACACTCGCGTATGTTTTTATGCCGAAGCCAATCTTCAGACTGGTTAGCTTTAGCACCTTAAATTTTTACAATATTTGTAATCTACATAAGGTACGTCGTACGTACTGTACGTACAAGTATGTAAACTTAAGATGACTATATATGTAGTATAACTAAGTTGGATTTGCGATTTACATATTTTATTGTCACATTTAATGCAAAATAGAAATTTGTTGTTTTCTTTTTAGGGTTAGGTTAGAAATTTAGAATACAGTATTTAGCATCTACTTAATTTCGACACCAGCCACAGCAATAAATTAAAACACGTGGCGGGATATTTTAGTATCTCAACTAGCCGCAGAAGTGGCTTTTTTTACTTTCTACATCAATGCAATGGGCACCTAATCTTGTCTAAAAAAGGCGGTTAGTCAGATCATCCTTTTTTTTATTAACGTTAAATCTTAACAAACAAATGTAAGACGCTCCAAAATTTTTAAAATTCTACCGGTGGTTTGCCTTATAAAAGATTAAACATTGAAACCAGGCTAACTGGTTCTGGAATGTTGACAAATCGTCGTTACCTAGGTCGGACACTAGCTTTTCTTAGTGTGTATGCAGTTTTGCATTGATTATTTACCTTCTCACGTTCTCACGTTTCGAAGATAAAGTTAATCATTTTATTTATTAATAAAGTTTTTTTATAGATTACATTAATAATAAAAATGATTTCGATAAGCTATAGTTTGGGTCGGCCCAGCCTCATGGAAGACATTCTTATTATTGGTTAGATCTACCTGTGACAGAGACACGGAAAAATCCCATTTTGGTTTGTAAAAAATTCATTCTCAATAAAATCCTTTTTTATAGCGGTGTAAAATTTTACTCTTATTTTATTTATACTTTTCTCTCCATAAGTGCTCATTTTCTATAAGTACGCTTGTGTAGTGATGCAAACGGCTGGCTCTGGCTCGGTTACGGCTCGCTATAATGGAATTGAACCGCTTTTTAGCCGAGCCATTTTTTTTAGCTGAGCCGACAAGAGCCGTGAATATGATTTGTATTATTAAAATTCATTTTCAGTTAACTTATAACATGTACAAATAGATCTTCAATAAAGTTCCACCAATTTTAACTTCGACAGAGTCAAAAGTAGGGTTGGTTCGGTCCTGAGAAGACCGGATAAGAACCGGTCTTTTTAACCGGTTAACGGTCCTTCGGTCTTCAGTCTTTTAATCAGTTCAGACCGGTTAATAATAAACGAGTAAATTAAACTTTTAAATAGTTAAA